GGTGGTGGTGGTCTCCGTGATGGAGAGTAGGGATGCATCCCCATGTGGAACTGATGTGTGTTGTGTGTTGTGTGCGGATTGGGATATTTGTGAGTGTGTGGTGGAGTTTGAAGTGTGGAATGATAGAGGAGGAGATGTGTGAGAAGGAGGAGGCATGCGAGTGGAAATGAGAATTGGAGGTGACGTTGGAGAGAGAAGAGGGCAAGGAGGAGGAGCAGGAGAAGTGGCGATTGAATCATTGGAATTCTGAGCATTCTCATCGTCATTAGTAGAGAGGGATTGTTGGTAAATTGCATGGAGATGTAATGAATGTGTTGAAGGAAGAGTGGGGAAAGAACGAGATGGAGCTAAAGTGGATAGAGCCGTAGAAGTAGAGGTCGAAGTAGAAGGAGATTGAGGAGGTGAATGAGGCGAAGACAAATGAGACAAAGGAGAAGTGAGATCACAAGGAGACTTGTTGGTGTTTGCAGGAAGTAATTGTGCTTTTGCGTTTGGTTGGGCAGGGGTTGGAGAAATTTGAGATGGAGAGCGAGAGGAAGACATGTTTACAGCAAGTGTAACAGTTTCTTTATGACATTAGTATCATTCGTCGAGCTATTTATATATGTGACATATGTAGCAGCAATGTAAGTCACTCTCAATTGGTCAGTGTATTTCGTTGCCATGTAAGCTGAATTAGGTCACTGGGGGTCACGGATGAGGTGATGTAGCAATTGTTTTGTTGGAAAATATTATCTTTTATGAGGTCACCAAAATTTATATCGATGTCATGACACTGTTGACAGATGGCCGATACCTTGGTTTTTGTAGATGTGTCATTAATTGACACAATTTGCAATTTATCGATTGTCACATTCACGCCAACATACTACCTTAATACATACTTTGCCCGTCTCCCAACCAGTACCTTTTCTTTATCATCTGATTGGCAGTGGTGCCAATCCGCATTCCACCAAAAACACAACCAAATGGTTTTTCTTCTCTCCCATGACGCCTTAGCAGAACAACTCTCCTTAAATCTATCGACTTCTTAATATTATGATTACTTTCAAAATTCTACACCACTTCACACAATAACGCTATTGTCAAATAGCTTTCCAACAGTAACTTCCTTCAAAATGTAAACCAGCATCTAACGATTCATTTTCTTTGTAAAGATATTCTTCGAGCGGAATCCATGGCCAAAATAGAATATGTATGTGTTCGTACTCATCCATTATGCTGATAGCAACGGCATCGTTCAAATGTACTCAATTGTGGAGACATGGTATTGTGCAGGCTTCATTGCTTTCAATACCAATAATTGATATTATGTGAGTTAATATCACTTGAATCTCCTGTTTCACATCCATCGGTATCCATTTTGGACATGAGAAGGAGAATTCTGCACTTGGATGCAGAAGCAGATGCCACTCGGTTGCAGAAATGAGGTTGAGGATCAAGTCACTAGTCATTGTTCATCGTGAATGTGCTACGTGATATGATGCTGTAAAAACATAAAAGTATAGACAATTTGAAATGAAAAAAAAAACAAATCGCAGTAAAACTTTGGAAAAATCTCGTAAGTAAAATAAAAAGCGCATTTTAGATAAGCGGATTCTTACCATGAGATGTTAGTGTTTGTGAAATTTCTAGCTGTGAAAAGTATACAATATGGCAGTATGAAAGTGTCAATGTGGACAATCGATAAATTGCAAAGCGTGTCAATTTATGGCACACATACTAAAAACCAAGGTATCGGCCATCTGCCAACAATGACATGACATCGATATAAATTTTGGTGACCTCATAAAAGATTAAATTTTACAACGAAACAATTGCTACATCACCTCATCCGTGACCCCCAGTGACCTAATTCAGTTTACATGGCAACGAAATACACTGACCAATTGAGAGTGATTTTCATTGCTACTGCATATACCACATATATATGTAGCCCGATGAATGATACTAATGCCATAAAGAAACTGTTATACTTGCTGTAAACATGTCTTCCTCTCATGCACGAATTTATCCTAACAGAACACATCCAAATGCAAAAGCACAATTACTTCCTGCAAACACCAACAAGTCTCCTCGTGTTGCTGATGAAAATACTTATTGAAACGACCTTAACAGCTTTATTTTTTCCATTTGAAATTTTTTTAAACAAATAAGAGTTTGAAAGATATATTAAATAAACTTGTTACATACAAAACATCTTCGTTAAAAGTGTGGGACACGTCATCGCATGCGTGTACTCATAGGCTTGATGTGCGGCTGTACAACCTCGCGTACGGTTTGAGGACAAGAGCACGCAGCTTATAGCAGCTTAAGGGCCCTCGCGTGTTTTACCGAAAGCCGCCATATTGTATGACTGAGTTTCCTTCCTGTGTACTCAAGAGCGTGATTTAGCTAGCGAATAAACGTATTCCTGCCATACGTCTACTTCTTCTTCGAACCCATAGTAGAGGTTTCTGAGTTTATTCAAGGTTTTCAAAAGTAGTTATCCGCTACAATTGGTGACCCTGACGTGATTCAAGCCTGACTACATCCGCTCAGCAGTAGAAAAACCTCATTTGGGTGATACGAGTTTATTTGACCGCTCAATCGTACCCGGATTGTCAACCTCTATCCAACTCTCCCATCGATCTTTCCTATTTACAACATAATGCCCAAAGAAACAGACAATAATCAATCTACTACCATCCCGAGCTGGCTGACCTTTAATCCCGATTGTGCAGAAATCTGGTTCGTTGAGTTCGAAAATACTCTCAATATTAGTGGTATCTCAAAACCTACCAACTGGTTCGTTCATCTAACGGTAGCATTGCCAAGTGATATCCTACAACCATTTCAAGATCTAGTTACTAGAACGATAGAGAACAATTCATACGATCTGCTCAAACAAGTTATCATTAAACACCTATCTGCTTCTGCCGAAAAACGTATAGAAAATTTTTTTACAGAATCCGAACTCGGTGATAGAACACCATCTCAACTTCTTCGTTATATGCGTTCTACGGTCGGTCCCGAGGATGTGTCCACAAGAATGCTAAGAGAACTGTGGTTAGATAAACTCCCAGAGCACCTAGCCACCCAACTCTTGGCTAGCCCTTATCAAGACGATCTAGACAAATTGGCTGAAGTGGCCGACCGTATTCATCGACGTGGTAGTAGACCTAGAGTCCACACTGTAAGTACTTCGCCCCCAGTTGACAGTATGTCGCGACGTTTGGACAACCTTACAGAGCAGTTCCAAGAACTTAAGACAATCATCTCAAATTTTCCTTCACAACCCAATCGTCAACGTACATTTTCATCCAGAAGACGACAGAATTTAACAGAAAATGAAGACACTATTTGTTATTATCATCGCACCTACGGAGATAACGCGAAAAAATGTACTCCTTGGTGTCAACACCCCAAACGCCAACAACGCAGTTCGGCGGGAAAAGAACACGCCAGACAGTAAAGGCGACGCCTGATTCTGGCAGATTTCCTAGTCGCCTGCTATACGTTACAGACAAGAATTCCGAGCTTACATTTTTGGTGGACACAGGTTCCGAAGTCAGTGTTATTCCACGGTCTACAAAACA